AAACAGTAATATTAATATCTATTAATATCAAATAAGTAGAAATTATTTGAAGTAAATAATTTAGCTTATATTATGTGTACCCAATTTGTGATGAGTTAATAATGGTAAAATTAAAAAGCTATAAGTATAAACGAGGTATTTGTTATAGATATTTGTTGTAGATATATTTTACTAAAAATAATACGTATGAACGTTATTCTGCTGCTACGTTTATATATATATATATAAAAGCTAAAAAAAAGTATTGATTGCTACACAAAAAAAAAGTATAATTATTTCACTCAGTATTATGTATTACGAAGACATGCACGAGTCCGCAATTAAATTGCAGAAATATCATTGACCTTAAAAATGCTATTATTTTCAGAGGACTCGTAGACGGATTTATGATAACATATCAATTGGGAATTTGCTGCGTTTATATTGTATTTGTAGCAACAAATATCAAACAGGTAAATCAACATGACTAAATTACACGCGATCAAACAAAAAAATGTTAACATTAAGCATTCTTGAAATACGTTACTATCAAGAAAACACATTTCGCTGATCAACAATTCATGCCAGTTTCAACATACATCATTGATAATGGGAACGGCACATTCATAATTTTGTTAATGATCTGCAGGTGGCAGATCAGTATTGGAATCCTTTGGATGTTACGACCCACATGCTTATTTTGTTGCTTCCGTTGATTTTAATAAATTATATTAGAAATTTGAAGTTACTAGCACCGTTTTCCACGCTAGCGAATCTTATTACATTCGTTGGGCTCGCCATGACTCTAGTGTATATGTTTAAAGATCTACCGTCAATCAGCGAAAGAGAAATGTATGGTTCATTAAGAAATTTTTCTCTTTATTTTGGAACGACGCTGTTTGCGTTAGAAGCCGTCGGTGTGGTAAGTCTAGAAATTATATAATCATATATATAATAAAATATTTAATTGCTATATATATAAAATATAATTGCTAATTGTTATTTATCAAGACATTCTTGAAGCTTGATTTTTGTTATTTTGTTATTTTGTTATTTTATAATTAATATCTAAAATAAAATATTAAATATGTGCATAATTGAGAGGTAAAATTAATATCTATTTAGGAATATCTTCTATAAAAATTTTGCTTGCTTGTACTATTATGTATAATTATATTATCCTTATATTACTCTACAATAATATTCGAAAAAGATAATGCTGTGGTCGTGTAGATTATAGCTTTGGAGAACAATATGAAGACGCCGCAATATTTTGGAGGCTACTGCGGAGTATTGAATATAGGAATGACTGTGATAGTCATTTTATACATAATCATGGGTTTTTTCGGCTATATAAAATACGGATCTGAAGCTGCGGGAAGTGTCACTTTTAATTTGCCGCAAGAAGAAGCGTGAGTAGAGTGAAATGATTCCAATTTTCAATAAGACAAATTATAAAATTATTAATCGCATTTGCCTCCAAATCACACAATCAGATATTAAAAAAATTTAGATTCCACATATTAAAATTTAAATTTCTATGCAAGAGAATACTTGAGTAATCTAAAATAAAAAATCTGTTTGAGATATTTACCTTAATGTATAATAATAATCAATTAAGAATAATCAATTTCTCATTATAAACATTTATTTTTCATGTATCCTTTTTTATTGCAGTATGGCTCAAAGTATTAAAATAATGTTCGCGATCGCCATTTTTATAACATATGCCTTGCAAGCCTATGTGCCCGTTGAGATTCTGTGGACCACTTATTTGGATCATCGAATACAAAACCGCAAAATTTTGTGGGAATACGTTTGTCGAACTGTCGTTACAATGGTCACATGTAAGTGGTACAATTATTAAAACTTTAATTAACAAACTAATTACTTCTAAATTAATAAATATAATTATCAAACTTCTAAGATATATTTGTTAGGTAATATTATGTAAATTAATATATGGTATATTAAAAAGTACTTAGATAATCATAATCAAGTAATCTAAATTTATATAAGATTCGATAAGTCGATCTTTGAAAATCCATAATTAAATAATAATTCTAAACTTTGTCTTTGTCATTTCAGTCGTTTTGGCAATCGCTATACCGAGACTCGGCCTATTTATCTCCCTCTTTGGCGCGCTCTGTCTATCCGCTCTTGGTATCGCCTTCCCGGCGATTATCGAGATATGCGTATTGTGGCCGGACAACGATTTCGGCCCCCTCAAATACATACTAATCAAAAACATCCTCCTGATCGTATTCGGACTGCTGGGTCTCGTGGTGGGGACCTACGTCAGCATCGTGGACATAGTGAACTCCTTTAAGTGAATCACGCGATCGGAATGCATGCACGCGGATATTTTCCGAAGTAGAAAGACGTACGAGACGCAGCTTGCAAACGAGCCTCGGCCAAGACGAGTTACACAGTTCAAAATATCTGCGAAAAGCAAAGAAGTAGCTCTTAAGCTCGTGTCTCTCTCCTTTCTCTCTCTCTCTCTCTCTCTCTCTCTCTTTCTCTTCTTTCTCCCTTTTATCGCCGTGAGAGTTTACTTAGACTTTATATAGGCAATGAAAAAATAGACGCGCCGCGCTAGTTGATCGAAGAGCACTCGGAATAACAGCCTCCGATCGCAAATAATCAGGGGGCTCGATCTGTGATGAAATCTCTCCTAGCAACAATAATGTACCGAAAAACGTCATCGCCGCTCGTTGTTGAAGATTTTTATTACACATGATTAGAGAAGTGCATATCTGTATGCGTTCAACTGGACCGTACATACATACATACGTACGTACATACATACACCGTACGTGTATATGTATGTGTATGTGTATGGTCCACTCTAGTATATATAAAAATGTCACGTCTAAAGCGGGCTTTACACGTTAATATATACGATTATTGAGGTAGGTATTAATGAAGAATTTTCCATAGGCGATTCAAAACACAGTCGCGCTTAAGCTTCTTATCTCGGTGATACGAGTACTTAGGAACACACAAATACGGCTGACATTCGTTTTCTTTTGTAAGAGGGATGTCGCAATAATTGATATTCGTGCGACGTAAATTCTGCAAGAATTTGCAAGCTTTTTAACATACCTTCGTTTAAAGTTTATAAATCAATGATTTCAAAAGTCAAGGAAAAACAATTGTTAAACCGTATTATCAATATCTAAAATTAATTTAAGTTAAAATTTTAAATGAAATTAAATCATTGAATAAAATTAGAGATGTTTTGTTTTAAACTTGTCAAAATATGATTAAATTTATACAATATAATAATCTTATTATAATAGATTATTACGACATCCTTATTAAAATATGAAAAATATCTCAATGTTATATCGTCGACAGGAAACATTCTAATTTCATGAGATTTCTATTGTATTCAATCGTTTTATATAGTTTTATTTAGCTCCACTATGGGGTGGCAATAATGAGGTGTTAAATCTCTCTGAGTGTTAAATTTTCTGAATTCTAAATATGGAAACTTTTATATTTAATTTCAGAAAATTTATCAACTCTTAAGCCAAGACTTCTCCTCAGTGAAAGTTTTTCCAGAGACTTCGAATAATAAGACTTGTATCTTATTGCTAAAGAAGAAAGAAAAATCACTGTTTCAACAAAACGTGACTCAAATGTTGAAACGTGAAAGTATATGAAAGTTATACGTAAACAGTAAGTCATTATTATAATATACATGCGTTCCATTTTCTACCGTTGAAATTGTAACAATTGTTCTCTATAGATGCACGTTGCAGGGTAAAAATTCGCAAAAGCTGCATACAAAAGCGGATCTATATATAATTATTATCGAAGTCATCTTGAACTACTATTTATACAAATGTTTTATAAATTTACAAATTTTTATGAATATATGATGAATACATGAAAGATAAGCAATTTATGTCAAGATAACATAATTAGAAATATGGAATAATTAAAAATCATTTTTTTTTATATGATTCGACAAGTATTCCGTTACGAAGGTGATCCGCTTAATCTTTCGCCTTATCTCGATTATGTTCGATAAATAATCTTGTGATCGTATTGTTGTTTTATACAAAATTGAATATTTTTTTTTCACAAATATCGAACAAACATTTTGGATTCATTTATTTTTTTGACATAATACTCATATACAAGATGTTTCTTAAGTATGTTCAATATTTTACAAATTGACTTTTAATATCATTTTATTATAAAAAAAAAATATATAGTTTTGAAGGCCTTGTTTCAAAGATACGAAGTGTTAAAAGTTCTATAAAATTATTCTTTTTCTTTATAAGCTTCTAAATGAAAAGAGACTTCTTTTTCAAATACTCATCAATAAAATCAATAAAAAAGATATCACATTCTTTTTTTATTTATATTTATTAAACTCCAATAAACAGAAGCAATATTTAAAATTTATATTACATTTATTATTATATTTATTATTACAATTTATTATTACATTGTTAGTTTATTGATCATATATTACATTATTTTATTAATTAAATAAAAAATAAAATATCTTAAAAAAAACAATTAGTTTAGAAGCTATTTAAAAAAACAACAATTTCATGGTTTTTTTTATTATCTAAAATTATATTTTCAAGACATATATTTATGTGAATTTGTCTTTGTAAAATTAATAATCAATTTCAAAAACATTGGATAAATACTTAAGAAATATATTGTATCTAATAGAGATATTCTCATTTGCACATATTATATTTTTGCTCACGTTTTTAGAAAAGTGCAAATTCTTTAATAAAATAGAAAGTACCATTTGAAATGTCAATCAACGTAATATTAGACTGAGAAAGAATATCATTCTATATTGTAACTGCAAATCTAATTCTTAGGCTGAGAAAGTATTATTGTAATCTGAAAGTATTCTCCAAAAATCACAAGGCTTATTGTTAACTGTTAATGACTACTAATATATTATATTGTTGAAAGTGTCTAATTATTCTTGTCTAAGCAGATCTTAAATTAGTATTAAGCCAGAGAAAAATATGAAACCTTGTTATTAAGATCAAATATATTAATATTTTTAATGAAAGTATGTTACAAAATACAATTGATTGTTAACTCTCATGCACGTCGCAAACGTTACATTATTAGCGATAAAAACACGTTGCCTCGTTCCGATATCATGTTATCAGGATAGCAGCGTAACACGAAATAGAAAAATTTGAAATCAGCGAAAGCACAAGAGAGAAAGCCTGTCACCAGTAGTAAAATACCATTTAAAATGTCAATCAAATAATAGAAGCAATAACGACTATTGCGCTAATAATTGCGATGCAAACTGTAGATTAGGAACGATCTCACGGAAGTGGAACAAATGTAACGTATATTGAACATCCAAATATACCGTTTTATACGTGAAACAAAACAAAAAATATTTTTTACACCCTCCCTGAATAATTAATATTCTATAATTATTTCATTATCATATTATTTATTATCACAATATTATTACATTTCATGTAGTTAAAGTTTTGAAAATTTGCTGACGTAATCCAATATTTTTTATGAATTATGTTCCTTCACTTTACTATTTATTCACTTACTATATATTATTGCATATATTTAAGTTTTAATTTCTAATTTTTTTGAATAGTGTCTAATTATTCTTGTCTTAGCAGATCTTAGTATTAAACCAGAGGAACATATGAAATTTTGTTATTAAAAATAAATATTAATATATAACTTTATAAATAAAAAAAGGTAAAAATATAATAAATAAATACATTTTTTCTTGCATATAATTTTTAAGATATATTTGCATGTATAGTTATCTTTCATTACTCATATCTCTTTCATATATTTATATATATAATATAAATTCAAAAACCTAAATAAATTAATTAAAACAAAAATTATCAAAAATTAATACATTATAACTAAATCAAATTAATAAAGTTATAATAACAAAAATTTTTTAAAATTGATGATAAATATTTTTTATTAACAAAGTATTTTTACTGGCATATTTATTATTAATCTTGTTACTGTTAATAACAATTTTTATCTATTCAGTTTGTTAAATAAAAATGTTAAAGTTACGATATAAACACAATAAAATGTACAGGATGTATCAAAATTCGTGCACACTAAATGCATAATGCAGTAATTCTTTATGCTAAAAGAAGCAATTATTTCTTCTTCTACATTATGTAACATAATGTTGACTTTAACATTGTAATCCATCGTTCCTTGCCACAGAATAAGAAATAAGATGAGGAAGAAGTTTCGCAATAATATTCTTCGATTTTATGAATATTTATTTATTACACACAGAGGATAAATACAAATTTTATATCTGTAACAGAGAGAAAAACAAATACTCGGAAGAATTTTTATTTTGTCGTCGCGTCGACATCGCAAAGACTTAAGAATTACATCGAGTCATCTAAAAAAGAATTAATTATAAAAAAATAATAATAATAATAATAATAATATAAATTTTTGCAATGTCAGTCGGGAATGAATTAGCAACAACTAGTATAAAACGAAGAATTAAAATATGAACTCAACATACTGGCTGTGATCATACCACGACACGAGAAAAATAAATAAAATGCACTTTTTCATTGACAAAGCAAATGATTTTATATGTCATATAAATAAAAGTAAAGGAAAAAAAGGAGGTAACAAGAAAGGTGAAATAAGCGACGACCGCTAGGAAGATAGAGGTAGAGAGAGGGAAGAAGAGAAGGAAAAGGGGAAACTTGGATTACGCATGATCGCCGCTGAAATAACTACTTTGCATCATGAACAGTTTGTCAATGGGGTTGTTGATGGCTGCATGCAGGCTCTGCGATAGCGATGGGGTGTCATGCGATGATGAACCGTGGTGAGAATGCGAGGCACCCTGATGACTGCCGTCCGCACCGCCGCCGTCATTCTCGCCGATGTCGAAGCCGCCGTCTGTCCCATCCAGGGACAAGTCGCTGCTGCAGAAACTCTCCCCCCGAGTGTCCTGGATACGCGTCTGGAAGAAACAAGATTTGTTGTATTTCTCGCCAAAT